CAACAGAGCTGCTTCATGGAAGAAGAACCTCAGCTTAGCCTGCTAGCTTTAGCATTAGCCCTGATGCTATCACCATATATATGTATGTCAATACTCTCTGGTTTCATTTAAAAGAGTCGATCGTCAGATATTGTCCAAGATTAACCTTCAGGGTGGATATAGCTCGCTCACACTGATGACCTATCCACGTCATCATTTACCCAGAATGCTTTGCGTGTAAATAAATTGGCTCAGTCCGTGTTAAAATATATTTTTAAAAATTTACAAAAGTAAACATCCTACGGTATTTTTACAGTCTTTATTTTACAGTTAAAATATATGCTTATCAAATAAAGTCCAATGTTACAACTAATCAGGGATGCCGTTAAGCTCCCTCAGTTCATCCATACACAATAGGAGGAGCCGGCCAGGTCCCGCCCACATGTACGCGTTCAGAAATGAACCCAGCAGCGCAGAACCAAAAGAGGCATGAAGCAGATCTCAGCTTGGCTGAAATGTGCCGCAACATATTTATTATGTGACAGATGTCTGTCTCACATCAAACAAAACAGACTGAAGTAACTCATTTTAGTGATCCTGTGGTTTAATATTTTAAAAGTAACTACAAAGTTTCTGTTTTGCGTCATCATTAATATTTCCTCGTTAAAAAATCGGTGTCAATTGCATTTGCTCTCTGATGTCTGCTTGTATCAAAGAAAAAACTGAATTTAGCGATCCTGCAGTTCTATACTTTTTAAACTAACGATAAAGTTGCTGTTTTGTGTCATCTTTAATATTCCATCAGTAATAAATCTGTTTGTTGATTAATCCTATAGTCACTCACTGATGTCATCAGCTCATTATCATGTTCTCAGATGCCGAACAGTGTGTTGCTTTTTCCACAAGCCTTCGTGTTTTTTTTCTGAATGATCCAGGGAGGACAGAAGAGGCATCAGTCCCGGACTGAGCCATCTTTTTGTACAAGTGGTACACTGAACAACAAAAAATCCTGAAGCTGACATGTTTCAGTCAAACTATCACAATCTGCCTTGTTAAATGTTTAATACACACACAGCAGGTCTGGTCTTGTAACCTTCCTGATAGGTACTCACATGCACAGTGAGGGAGTCGAGAAGTCCACACAGGCGTCCCCGGCTCACGGCCGTAACAGGTAATGGTGGCACCACCCTGCATAATGAAGCCAGGGTTACAACTGTACTGAATGGTTGTACCAACCAGGAGTTTAGAGTCAGACAGTGACCTGGTGGAGTGCTCCACATGGCCTGGATCTGAACAGTACATGACTGACGGAGAGATAACACACAGAATGAAGAATCTATGAGATATGAGTGGGTATGGAAAAAAAATACAAAAATCATATCTTTTTCTCAGCTCAAATATCTAATACTATACACCTCTTGAATAAGTGAATTCTCTATATCAACAGAAAAACAAGTTTAGCTGATTTATTCACTTCTTATGACCTGAAATATTCTAATGCAGATAAATACAAACAGATGTAAAAAGATTTCTACAGCAAAATAGAGCAGAACTGACTCTTTTCACAGAAGGGGGGCTGGGAGCTCCAGGTGAGATCCAGCTGACAGGTGAGGGTCTCCCGTCCCACCAGGTCATAACCTGGATCACACTGGTAGGTGATTCGAGCTCCTCGCACCAGAGCGACATGCGACGTTGTCTTCCAGCCATTCTGGATTTCAGGTAGGTCTGGACAGGAGTCATTACGGGACACCTCTGGGAAGGAAATTACAGACAAATGGGTTATTAATGGCTTCATTAGTGTTGGGTGCTTATGTCCAGGTTTGGCTGCAGTGATGAGTCACTGGTAACGAGGGTGAAAAGGCCAACATGATCAGCAGCAGTTGACTCCTACATGATGCATTCTTTGTGGGATGATTGATGGATATGAGGTACAATTACTTCACCGTGTGACAGGATGATGGATTTCATCAGAGCTGGAGCGTTTTTCTGATATCACCTCTTCCCTGTTGTGTCTCTGATAAGGACAGCCTGCTACTGTAGCTGCTATTTGGAGAAGCTTCTCATTTTCCAATCACATTCCCTCTGAAAAACGTTTCACAAGCTGCCATGTACTTGTGACAGTTGACAAGATCAACCACAATGATTAAACTGTCTCTGACTTATCTGCTGTCAAGAAAAGATGTCAAGAAAAAAACACCTTCAACAAAATCATCCAATCAAACCTGATGACTTCCTCAGTACATCCTAAATGCAGATGAAACAACCATTCATCCATTCACTTATTCATCCAACCATATTTTCATTCATCCAATCGTTCAGTTATTCATCCAAACATTTTTATTCATCTATTCATCCATCCTTTCATTCATCCAACCAACCAACCAACCAACCAACCAACCAACCAACCAACCAACCAACCAACCAACCACCTTTTCATTCATCCATCCATCCACTACAACTGATGATGGTGTTTGAATAAATTCTGAAACTTTCATTAGTGTTTTAGTAAAAATTGCTCCCTTTACTGGTATTTAAAATGTGATTTCTGAGCTTTTCGGCACCTTAAAGGGATCCCCGATTAGTAGTAACATTAGACTTTATTTGATAAACATTTATTTTAACTGTAAAATAAAGATTGTAAAAATACTGTAGGCTGTTTAGTTTTGTATATTTTTAAAAATATATTTCAACACGGGCAGAGCCATTTT